TTCCAGGCTTTAGCCTAGTAAACCTTTTTTGAATTGCTTCCAATGCATTGCATCCATTCCCGAATAAGGTGACCATTACTGTGCACACTGTGACAGATGTGGCCTCACTCATGCCCACTATAACTGAATAGTAGCCTCCCTACTATTATTCAATTCCCCCACAACCCCCGTGATAAACTACATTCTATGAGCATTTCTAATTACTTGCTGTACCTGCATACAAGCCGTTTGCGATTCACGCATCCAATAGGGCTTTATTGAGTTACAAGGAGAGGCTGGGACTTTTTTTACTGGAACGTAGGAGGTTGACAGGTGACCTTATAGAAGTTTATAAAATCATGAGGGGCATAGATAAGGTGAATGGCAGGTGTCTTTTCCCTATGGTGTGGTTGCTCAAGGCTAGGGGGCACATTTTTAAGGTGAGAGGAGAAAGATTTAAAAAAGAAATGAGGAGCATTTTTTTTTACACAGAGAGTGGTTTGTGTGCGGCATGTACTTCCAGAGGAAGTGATTGATGTGGGTACGGTTACAACGTTTAAAAGACATTTAAATCAGTACATGAATAGGAAATATGCATAGGGGCCAATTCAGGCTGGTGGCACTAGTTGGACAAAAGGGTCTGTTTCCGTGCTGTATGACTGTATGATTAAAACTATTCCAGAGGATTCTTCACATGATATTCTCCCAGGCTCCAGCCATTGGTCAACACCACACCTATCTTTAGGATGTAATGCCAATCCACCCTAACCTGCACATTTTTGGACTGTGGGAGGAAACCAGACCACCCAAAAGAAACCCACATGGACAATGTACAAATTCCACACAGCCAGTAGCCTGGGGCTGGAATTGAACCCAGGTCCCTGGTGCTGTGTGGCAGCTGTGCTGCCCACTGAGCCGCCATGCCACTCACTTGTTGCTTTGCTTTGTCAAATCACTTTAGTTAGGTCTGCTTTCATGCTCTCACAGTTGCCTTGTTTTATGTTTGAAATACCAGTCTTCGACTTAGTCTTTCCCTCAAATTGAATGTAACTTCAATTATATTATGGTCGCTGCTACCTAGAGGAATCTTGACTATGAGGACCTAAAGTAATCCTTTTCTGATGTACAAGAACGGATTGAATATAACCTGCTCTCTGGCTGGTTCCAGGAGATGCTGCTGTAAGAAGCTACTCAAAATCATTCTGTGAAGTCCTCATTTAGGCTGCTTTCCCCCCGTCTGATGTTTCCATGCGATACGTAGATTAAAATCCCACGGGATCATCACTGTACCCTTCCAAAAAAACCCTATTATTTCCTTCCTTTATACACCGGGGCAGGGCAGTGGGATTAGTTTGAGAGATTGATACAGGACGATGGAGAGAACGTGGGGCAGTGGGATTAGTTTGGGATTAATACAGGGCTATTTGGACAGAGCAGGACAGTAGGATCATTTCGGAGACTGATACAGGGCTGTGGGGTCAGATTGGTGAGTGGGATTAGTTTGTGGACTGATACAGAGCTATAGGGTCAGAGCATGGCATTCAGATTAGTTTGAGGATTGATACAGGGCTATGAAGAGAGAGCGGGGCAATGGGGTTAGTTTAGGGATTGATACAGGGCTACGGGGTCAGAGCATGGCAGTCAGATTAGTTTGAGGGCTATAGGGTGAGCGCTGGTAAATGGGATTAGTTTGTGGATTGA